GCATGCATGCATGCATACATACATACATACATACTTCTTCTTCCGGACGCAGCGATCGTTACACATGTACATACATACATACATACATACATACATACATACATACATACATAAATACATACATACATACATACATACATACATACATACATACATACATACATACATACATACATCTTCTTCCGGAAGCAGCGAACGTTACACATGTACATACATACATACATACATACATACATATGTACATACATACATACATACATACATACATACATACATACATACATACATACATACATGCATATATATATATATACTCATGTACAAAACTCCGTCTGTTGTATTGCAAGAAACATGAACCAGGATCAATACATGGACGTGCCGTGCACTCATGCTACAGGTAGACCCTAACTGCCGATAGCAGCAACACTAGCGTCAATGTTGAGACCATTCCACAGAAGCTAGTACTAATGCTGCCCCTGTGTGCTTCTCGCTTGGGTTTCTGGCCCTGCTGGAAGGTCCGTACAATTGGGTGCTTGCAAGTAAGGTTCGAAGTCGGGCAGCTCATTTGTCGTTACCTATATGCCCCCCCCATTCTTCGTCACCCGTCAAGATACCTGCCTGCAGGCATGGCTTAGCATTGAAGGGTGACGGATGTGATGCAGACTTCCCTTTTTACAGTCCGAAACAGAGAGTGGGTCCATCTTCTCGTGGTTGCAATTTCCAATGTGATCAGGGTTTCATTGCAATGCCATCCAGAACTGGAACCTGCGACAACATGCGAAAGTCCTGCTGAACCAAATAAATACCCCGACCTCTCAACCTGAACCTATAATTGAGACAACAGACCGCTGGCGCACAAGTTCGAGGATCATGACTTGCATGGGAGTAGCTTCAGAACTTGGGGTCAATGAAGAAGAGCTTGTGTAGTGGAGGATCCTACTTTGTAGGTTCATGGGTTCCAATTAGCGTTCGGGGCGATTGAGGCTGTGTGGATTTACGGATTAGAGTTTAACATCTCCAACGGGGCATCTTGAAAGGCGCCCTCACGCCTAAACCTATGATAAACCCTAAACACCACAAAATACCCTGGAGCTGCAGAGCTTTAAGTCTGCGGTCCAAGATGCGCTGGGTCTTAAGGGAAACCGAAGTTCCAACCCACCCTAAGAACACTCATCCCGGACCCAATATATACTATAGATTGCCATAGCCTGTACTGTCAGGCCCGAGCCCGAAATGCGATTATCTGTGGGCAGCTGTGATGCCAAATTTCCCCCAAGCGCGAAACCCATCCCCTAAACTCGATCCGCCAACATCGACTTGCGATCTCCGTCAAGGCCTCCGATGCCACCTGCAGCACGACGCCCAACAGATTCACCCCAAACTACAATCCTTTGATTCCAGGGTCCTTCTAATCAGGATGAACCCCAAACTCCTAAACTCCTAAACTCTAAACTGTTAACCCCTAAACCCTAAACCCCTAAACCCCAAACCATACACCCTAAACCCAAAACCCTAAACTTTCGGCTTCAGGGTCTGGTGCGGCCCTAAGCTGAGCCCTAAACCCCTAAGGCCCGAACCCCAAGGCAAAACAACCGAACCCAGAGCTCGGACTCGGGCTTATAGGCTTAGAGGCTTAGAGGGTTTAGGGTTTAGGGGGTTTAGGGTTTAGGATTTCGAGTTTAGGGTTTAGGGTTTAGGGCTTAGAGTGTTCAGGCTGTAGGGCTTAGGGGTTTAGGCTAGGTTCCCCAGTAGCCCCTAACAATAAGGGCGCCCTTTTTCCTACTCTTTGGGTTTGATATGGGACCCCAAAAGCAAAAAGGGCAAAAGAGTACTACTGGAGAACCTAGTGGGGCTTAGGGATCGGCTTGAGGATTTAGGCTTTAGGGCTAAGGGTTAGCATGTATGTGCAGATACAAACTTGTCTGGGATTCACGTTGCGTGTTTCGAGCTTTGGCTTTGGAGGTTGGGTTTAGCGGTATCATTCCGGGTAGGAACTGCCTGCGTGTTCCTGTACGCTACAGTAAGGGCCAGAGGAAATCTTAAGGTTGCTCATATGCTTTGATACGGGCTTAGAGTTAGAGCTCATCGCTGAAGAGCCACTCCAATACCGAACCCAATAGTCTTTGTGAGTTCATGCACCCAGTGCTAGTGGCGGTTTAGGTTTTGGATTGCAAGGAACTGCACATGAGAGCAAAGCCGCGATGAAGGCTTCGTCTTGTACTTAAAGGATCATGGGACTTAGTAAGTAGGGCTATAACTAGGCTAACTGTACTTACAACCCCAATTATAGGGGACTTATAACCTTACTTACTAAGTCCCATGATCCTCCAAGTACACCTAAACCCTAAACCCTAAACCCTAAACCCTATAACCCTATAACCCTACTTACTAAGTCCCATGATCCTCCAAGTAAGGTTGACGGCTTTGGAGTTCAGGGCTGACGGCCTCGAGGCCCCAGGTTTCAGGGTCTAGGATGGCAGCTGTATGTGATTAAAGGATCATGGGGCTTAGTAAGTAGGGTTTAGGGTTTAGGGTTTAGGGTTTAGGGTTTAGGGTTTAGTACTTAAAGGATCATGGGACTTAGTAACCCTGGTGCTCCAAATAGCCCAAAGTAGGTACTATTTATAGACTTTAGACCCCAAAGTAGGTGCTATTTGTATACTTGGAGCCTTGGGGAAAAGCCTGGTGTTGAAGGGTTGAGGGTTTAGGGAGGATCTTCATATGAAGTCGTGCCTCTGGGTGTTTGCGGGCTAGGTAAGTGTTCTCCTTAGGAGTGCTGGTGAGTCTGTAATATAAAACAGGGCACCAAGCCTTGTAGCCTTAAAAGGAAGCTGAACGAAATAAGCTCTAATCCTTAAGCACCCCACACCCCCAGACCGTAAGCTTAGCCCAAAGGATGACCACTGAAGCGAATGCGGTCATGACGCCTGACTCGTTACCGCCTTATACAGTTCTACTACAAGCTTGTATAGGTTTTATACAGAGCTCCATAGCCATCAATCATTCGCATCGGCCTCTTTCGCCTCTGCTGCACCATAGGGCGGCTCTCTGCAACCAGGCAGAAATAACCACACCTCACCGCTAAAAAACGGGTCATAGACAAACTTAGCGGATTGGAGGGTGGCGCATTATCAAGAATGTTCACGATTCCAAAGGCCACTGCCAGGGAATATTGCTACCAACCCTATGGAGTCCAACGTCCCTTTGTGTGGGTTCCCTAATTGTGAAGGACGTCCAGTACAATCTCAGCTACTTGGAGGATCATGGGACTTAGTAAGTAAGGTTATAAGTCCCCTAATTGGGATTATAAGTATAGTTACCTTAGTTATAACCCTACTTACTAAGTCCCATGATCCTTTAAGTAGATTCCCAGAGACTCGAATGTCCCTAACTTTGGATTTCCGGCTCAGGTTTGGTGTTTACGGTTTACGGTTTAGGGTTTAGGGTTTAGGGGGATCAGACGACAAGTGACGGAAATGATAGCAAAACCAGCGCTATTCAACATCAACACATAGGATTTGTACTTGCCAAGTAATCCTGTTCGTTTCCGGAACTGGGTGTCTAGCACCGTCACGAAAGCCTTTCACAAAGAATCCTTATAGCAAGTCTCATTTAAAACCGGCTAGAGTTTTAAACACCCCTATGACTCTAAACCCTCAACCCATGATCTCTTACTTAATCACTTTGGAACTTCCAAAAGTCTAGATAGCCCTTGGATATCATAGAACCTATGACCCTACATTGATAGCGCCAAAGCCCTTGACCCGTCATCCTCACACCGTTCTCACAACGCTTGGGTTAAACCCTACAAACAACCCTGGAGAACCGGAAAAAAACTCTACAAAGTCCTTGTGAAGAGCTTCACACCCGAGCTGTGCATGCCACAAATAAGACCCGATTTAGGTTGCTTGCTGTTTGGGATTTCCCTTTGAGCATCTTCAATCCATTCTCCTGTAACTAACCCACCCCTTTCCAAGACCCTATCAAGCCCGATAAATTATGAAGACAAGCCTTTCCACAATCCTACACACACCTTTCAAACAGTTGAAATCCCTATAGCACCTTCATAAACCCAGCGAGTCCTGAACATACAAAACCCTAAACCCTAAACCCAAACCCCTAAACCCTAAACACCTAAACCCCATGATGCCGAGCTTTGAAGCGGGAAGCCTTGGGATCCGCCACACGCCGGCCGACGCAGAGACGGAAGCGCAGCCGCTGCGAGCCATCCTCCTCCTGGCTAAGCTTTCTGTCTTTCTGAGAGAAAAACGGACGTGTCATATATATATATATATATATGCACATAATATATACATATTTAGTTATTATCTATTTACTTCTGTATGTTTATATGAAAATTTTGTACTGACTGCTTCATATACTTTTATATATATATGTGTGTATTTTGACCTTTGTGCTTTATTCTACATGTCTTTGATGAGACTTGCTACTACATGGGGCTCTACACGCAGTGATTCCATTGGGGCCTCTTGGCCCTCAGTTTTGCTGAGCAATTTGGGGCCTCTTGGGTTTGGGGGTTTATAGGGTTTAGGATTTAGGGTTTAGGGTTGAGGGCTTAGGGTTTAGGGTTTAGGGCGTTTGCTCCCGGAGTTGAAATCTTCTGGCCTTATTTGGGGCTTGGTGTTTTCTGTGTGGCTAGGGTTCAGGGGTTTGGGCGCAGTGTTTAGGGTCTAGGGTTTCGGGTAGGTAAAACAGGGGCTTGAATAATTAAGCTGAGTTTTGGAGTATTTCATACGATATTCACACTAGCGGCAACAATATGACAAAGCTTGGCCTGCACGCAACAAACCCTAAGCCCTAAAAACCCTAAACCCTACACCCTAAACCCTAAACTGGCAGTTAGCAGTGTCTGGCAAGCAGCAAAGGTAAAGGCCGAGCCAGGATCCAACCACTTAAATTGAACCCGTAAGTTCCAGTTGCTTGGATGAAACCTTGAAGCCTCAAGAATCTCAGGTCCAAGCATCAATCTGGGAAAGTAGGGGGTTCGAATATGGAACACGAAGTAGAAGAACCTTGTTAATACAAGCACCCTGCAGTAGCGAAAGTACAGTGCTCCTATGTTCTGAAACCCTGGGCACTAAACCCCCAAATCTCTCCTCAGTGATCTCCCAGTCGACAACTTCACGGCCGCAGGACACCTTGAGGGCTCAGTGAGGGTTCTTCAAGATTGGGGTTTACTGTTTAGGGCTGAAAAAGGACTCTACAAAAAGACTATGGAGGTTGGGAAGGGGTCATTAGTTATCAGGATTCTACCATGTTCTAAAGGGGTTCGATCACTGTTCCATAGGAATTCTTTCGGAAATTTTTACAGGGGTTCTACACGGGTACTGAAAGGGCTCTGCAAGGATTCTAACGGAAGGGTCTGCAAGTTTTCCACGAGGGTTCTAAAAGGATCTTAAAAGGGTTCTATACGGCTTTTGGGATTCCGGGGTTGGGTTTTAGGGGTTTACGGTATCTACAGAATCCACGTCACCTGTATAGCAGGTGGCTGGGGTGTGCTTGTAACTTCAAACTCATAGGCCACACCAGCGCTAAAGTGTCGCCCTTGGACGAGTGCTATGCGACCTCGAATCTGCAGCTGGCCTAATTTTTCAGCTAGACAGATCTTCTTAAAGGCTGCGCATAAGGATATGTTTTTGTACGTATAAGTTGAAGGTTATGTACTACAGTTACTACAGTCGACTGCAAAAATCGGGGTATTCGAGACCGGATCAAAGAACGACAAATCTGGAGATGAACCCACAAGCTGACGGAGGACACCTGCTCAGCTACTCAGTTACGGGAACCTCTGGCGAGGGGGGAGGGTTTAGGGTTCAGGGATTAGGGTCTAGGGCTTTGCACAGTTGAAGGTTGAGGGCTGAGGGTTTTTGAAGGCGTCCCTGACGACCAACATCTGTTGGCAGTAAGGATGTAGGGGCCGGGATGCAGGAAGCTTTCTGGCTGTCCTCAGGCCTGTGAAACGTGAGTCAGGTTCTGGGTTCGGGATTCTACACCCTTGCCATGGTGCACCCAGAGAACCGCACACCCCTCAAACAAGCAATGGAGCCTTCCTTACATCATAATCAAGTCCTATAGGTGCTTTTAAGGGCACAGCAGTGAGCCGTATGCAATGTACCGCAACCAGAACGCCTGAACCCTAAACCCTACCATTCTTGTGAGAGTCTGAATAAATTAGGACCAGGGAAAGACATGCAGCGGGTTCTAAACTCAAAAACATCACCCTAAGCGTCCATGTGCCCATATAGTGTATACATTGGCCTTAATGTAGTCCCTATATAGGTACTTTAGGGCCCATGTATGTGCTCTATGAGCACATGGACCCTTAGGGTCAAGGAATCCTAATCATGAAATCAACAATGCAGCTCATTGTTCAGACCGCTTTAGTACTCCCTGATCGAACCCGAAACCTCAAAACTCTCTCTTTAAGAGAGCCCTGGAAAGGAACCCCAAAATAATCCTATGACGCTCCATCAGACCCTCCATCAAACCCTTATAGAACAGTTATAAAACCACGTACCTGACGGGAGCCAAGTCACATGGATGTTAGAGCCCAGGTAGTCGGCCTTGCAGCGACTGTGGGACCATCGGTGCGAGGCCAGGGTTCAGGGTTTAGGGTTTAGGGTCTATAGGGTTTAGGGTTTAGGGCTTAGGGTAGATCGTTCGCGGCTTAGTGCTTTGGGTTTAAGGCTTACGATTCGAAGATTCCGGGGCAGGGTTTGGGGACCACCTCGATACTGACCGCTTACCTGAAGCCGAAATCTTGCACCCTGAACCGTGAACAATCGTAACCCCCAACCATCCTGAAACCTAGGCCAACTCAGAACTCCTAAGCCTTTAAGCACGGCTTTAGGGGCTTTAGATGCTGGGTTTCACGCCTCGCCGCATCGTGCCCGAAAGGCTCTAAACACTGTAGTCAGTCAATAGTGACGGCGATAGTATTACGAACTACTCGCCTCCAGTCACGGGCCTAGGCGGCCATTAGTAAATTGACTTAGGGTTTAGGGTTTAGGCTTTAGGGTTTAGGGTGTTATAGTATAGTGTGCTGTATTCGACAGTATATTATAGTATATTACAGTACATGATAATGTATTACAGTACATCAAAGCATACCATAGTATATGCTCGTATATGATAGTACCGTTAAGGCTCTCGAGAAGTCACGTGCCTGCGAGCCAGGCGCCCGTAACCCTATTGTAAACTCCAATTCCGGGGCGATGTCGCCCTCAACCCTAAACCCACAACCAGCTAGGCCAAACTCTAGTAACTGTGGTTTAGGCATTTCGGTTTGGGGATTAGTAACTAAACCCTAAACCCTACACCCTCTAAACCCTTAAACCCCTAAACCAGTACAAATTCCCAAAACCGTTTGGGGCTTAGTAACTAAGCCCTAAACCCCACACCCTAGAAACCCCTAAACTGGGGGCAGTATAAGCCCTAAACCCTAAACCCTAAACCCTAAACCCTGATGAACCCCAAAACCCCAAGGCCCCTGCCGTGCCTGATCAAGCCGGGGACGCAGCGCCAGCAGGCGGCCGCAGCGCGCCTCAACGGGGCCCAGGCCAATACCTCAGCGGTGTAGAAAGTTAGGGTTTAGGGTTTAGGGTTTAGGGGCTCAACTGTAAAGCCTGCAACCAAACAAAGCCTAATTATGGAAATATAGAAAGAGACAGGGGGGCCGTACAATGTACTACGTATTGAAGACCACTTATGGAGGCGTCGTAGACCTCATGGAACCCTACAGAAACGCATAAACCAAGTCTCACAGCGCCTGCATCATCTGGCAGTCTCAGGATGTGGGGTAGCCCAATGCAGACTGCGCAGAACTGGACCATCATTGTAAAACCAAACGTATAGATGAGGCACATCGAGTTGTTGTTAACACCCAGCATAAAACTCTAAGACTCTAGACGGCCCTGTATACCCAGCAGTAAACCCCATAAAAACCTGCAAAGCCCTCAGCCCTAAGCCGTTTTGGCCCTAAGCTTTAACAGCCCTAGACCCTAAGCCACTCTCAGCTCGTTCAAACAGGCCCTGAGAAGCCCACCCTAACCGCAAGAAAACCCCAAATCCTATAAGCAGTATAATCCCAATAAGCCCTAGAAGCCTTATAAGCTGTAAAAACCCAATAAAACCTATAAGCCCGATAGCAAGTAAGTATAAGCCCTAAACCCTACAGTCTAAAGCCCTAAACCCGAAAAAGGCGATTTCTGGCGGCGTGCAAGTCGACTGCAAAAGTCTGGGGACCTGCGAAGGGGATAAGGTGTTAGGGTTCTGGGTTTCGGGTTTTTTAGGGTTTAGGGTTTAGGGTTTTTGAGGGTTTTGGGTTTAGGGTTTAGGGTTTTTGAGGGCTTAGGGTTTATGGGGAGCTTCAAGAAGGGTTCAGAGGAGGATGGTTTGAGAGCTCAGGGCCTTTCGGATTCAGGGGTTTCGGGGCGTGAGGCTTTAAGTTCAGGGGTTTAGGGTTCAGGGTTTTAGGGTTTAGGGTTTCAGGGTTTAGTTTAGGGTTATAGGGGCTAGGGCTTTGGGGCTTTAGGGCTTTCGGCTTTCAGAGAAGGATTCCCATAGATGGCTCCATAAGGATCAAGGGCTTTGGGGCTTAGGGGTCTAGGAGTTCGGGCTTGGGTTCAGGCTCCATGAGGGTTTAGGCTTTGAGCTCTACCCGAATCCCTGAACCCTAAACCCTNNCCTAAACCCCTAAACCCCTAAGCTTTGAAGGCTTTGGGCTCTCATCGTTTCAGGCTCTGGCCTGCAGTTGGGGTTCAAGGCTTTAGGAGGGCTTTGCTGTGGGGGAGCCGGGGGGGGGGGGGGGG